CCCATGTTTGGAGAAGTGCTGCTGGATGTTGGCGTTGGAGTGCAAGAAGTGGTTTGTAAAGCACCAACTTGGCTATTGCAGGTGCTTGAGGACAGCCTTGCAAGATGCCCTTGCGGTAGTGCTGGGGATCAGTGGCGATACTTTCCGCTTGGATGACTCGTGGGCCTCGGTAGAGGTCGATGACCATCTTCAAGTGAAGCAGTGGATATTCGAGCTCCCTTGCTGGCTGGATGAGCTTGTCGAGATCAACCGTGTCGTAAAAGCAGCTGAGGTCCGCCAAGCAAGTGACAGTGTGAATGTCGTTGTGTTTGCAGAGCTCTGATTGAAGCATTCTTCCAACTGCTATCGGGAGCAGTCCTTTTTGGGTCTTGCATGGTCCCAAGGCATAGTTGTGTCAAGTGAAAGCTGCCACTTGACAATGTCCTGCTTGCGGACTCGGTTCCAGAGTCTGTAAAGGCATGACGTCAAGGCAATGGGTCTTTCAACTTTGAGATTCTTTGGGATCATCACGATGTTGACCATCCTCAATTGCGTTGGGAGGAGAGCTTCTTGTTCCATTTGATTGAACAAGTTGGCCAGTTGGGCTATCGCCTCAAAGGGGAGCTGTTTGAGGAAGTCGTATAGGAGACTCCGTCTGGTCCAGAGGCCTTGCGCGGCAATTTCTTGATCACCCTTTGGAGGCTGAGCGGATTGATGGGTTGGAGAATGCGCGCCTGTTCAATGGCATCCTCTCTCAGCTCTCGGAGACCTCGGATGTGACATGGTTCATCGACCGGAATCCAAACGGCTCCCCATTGGGCTTGTCTGGCTTGAAGACGTTCTTGAAGAGGTAGATCTTTGGAAAGGACGTTGCCAGGGGATGTCTTTCTGACGAAGGCTTCGGAAAAGCCCTCTGAGGCCCTTGGAGTGTGCTTGGGCAAGCCAGGTTTTGTACTCTTCAGAATTTGCTAGGGCGAGGCCAATGTGGGCTTGATGCTCTTGCGCCATGATCAGATCCTGCAGGGCTGAGGATCTTGATGAGTGTGCTCAATCCACTGCGAAAGGGAGGAGCTGAAATTGTCCTGGCCCAGATCATCTGAAGCATATTCTGGAAGGCTGGTGAGCATGTTGAGAAGGTCCTGTTTAACAGCTTCATTGGCACTGTGATGTAGGACACTGATCCGGACTGACATTTTCTCCCAAAAGGCTGGTCGTCCTTTTTCCACAACTGAGCAGGGTGTGGTCCCGCCAGTGGGCCCGTGTAGAATTCAACTTGGCACCCCCTCCCTCTTCGAGGTTGTTGGATCTGCTGTATGAGGTAGCTTTCGGACTTGGCGCACCATCTAGCAAGGTCGGCGCTGAGGCCTGTGATCTGGTAGTTGAGGATGTAGAAGGGTCCATTGGGTTCCTGAAATTCAGACCAACCATGTTGCGGATTGAGAGCCTTTCCAATGGGAGGGAAAGCTCGCATCTGTTGGACGGGAATGGCAAGGTGCTCACTGTGGTACTTGAGATTCAGGGCGCAATGTGGTCTCCAAGGAACTTCCCACGTGAGTTCAAGCTTCAAGGGGCCATGCAGTGTATTGGAGACGAGGAAGTAGTCAATCTCACTTCCTTGAAGCGTCGTGGGTCCTTCTCCTGCAAGGATGTGGGCTTTGAACTTGCTTTGGGCGACCATTGCAGCTAGCTCGCTGGGTGGGTTTTGCCAATCACCACCAATGATGAAGGGAGCCTTGAGGATCTCTAAGAAACCAAAGAGGTTGCTGAGAATCTCTGCGTTCAAGGGTGACTGCAAGGTTTCTCCAGTTCTCAGGTAGAGTTGAATGATGGCCATATGAAGGCCATCTCGCTGATAACCCACGGCCATCCAGCCATTGCCCTCCTTGCAAAAGTGCTGCAAACTGTGGACATGGTGATGAGGAGGATGAAGGCACAACAACCCCCCAGTGTTGCCACCTCTTCCTGTGGCCATGGCCGGTACTCCCAAGGCCCTCCATCCTCGGGCGATGAAGTATTGCATGACTTCCTGTAACTTGCTGTCCGACAAATGTGTTTCCTGCAGAAAGATAAGGTGATCAGCTTTGGACCATACCCAGTCCTGAACCTTCTTGCCAAAGGAGGTGACATTGGCGAAGCAAAACAAGACATCTTCATAGTGAGTTTTGCTCTTTTTGATGACCGGTTCAGGGATGAGGTTGTCATCTGAGTCGTCTTCCATGGGATCATGAACAAGCCAAACTTGAAGCGCTTCAGATTCTTGTTGTTCGTTGAGTCCCCCAATCGGTTGTGGGTATTGATTGTCGTCAACACTCCAGAAAGCATTTTCTAGAGCATGAATGGCAGTGAAGTGACCACTGTGGTGAGTCTTGCCATGGTGCAAGATCATGGCCACTGTCCTGTACCCTGCTTTGGAGATGGAGACCCCATCATTGCAGAAGGGGACCGTGATGACCGTCGGAACCTCCAGCTGTCGATGATGTTTGGTCCACATGTTCTCTTGGCATTGAAACCGCTGAATGTGGAAGATCAAGCAATCTGGGGCTCCATACAAGTATTGACCTTCTTCTTCGTTTGCCCACTGGTTGACCAGTTCATCAAGGGTGACCTTGGCTTCTAATGGTGGGCAGATGAGGTTGATCGGGACCTGTTCTCTTTCTTGCCTCCGATGTTTTGAGGAGCTGCTGTGGTGAAGAGATGACCCACAAAGTCCCCAACATCTGCTTGTTGTTGGTCTTCGAAGTGAGCCCATACGTCCATAAGCTCGTGAATTTGAGTCAAGAAGCATGGTCTGGGAGAGGAGAGGAAGGCTCTGAAGGCCTGATGAAGTCTGCCCCACGTTCGAGTGGGTTCCATGGTGAAGCAGCTCAACCAACTCCAACACCTGAAGACTGAGTTGCCGAAGCACACACAGGTTGCCATCATTGGCGGCTATGCTGGTGAGATTCTGAGCAATCAATCCTGAATTTGCCTGAATGAGAGGAGGATCTCCTTGAAGGCCTTGATGTTTGTATACCAATCTCTCCATTCGTTGAAGATCTGCCAACACCTGCTGGCCGTGGTCCTGCATCGGAGCTCGTAGATACTCCTGGCATGAGGCATGGAGGTCTTGATGTCCTGTCTGGAGGAGCTGTTCGTGTGAGAGGTCGTGAAACTCTTGTTCACTGTCCATGTCTTGGAGGATGTGGGCCAGAGCTTGGAAACCTGAGGTCCCGGTCACAGCACCACCCTTGGGGGCAGGCTCTGAGGTAGAAGAGCTCGGCGCCTCTGGTTCCAGCAATGGGCCCCCTCCCCTTTGACTTTGACTGAGGATTGGGACCGCCAAGGTCCATAGGAGGCAGTTGGGGCTCTGGCAGTGCAGCTTGAGCCCAAACTGAGTTGATTGGCGAGGTCAAGGAAGTTGTCATTTCCCCTGCAACTTGGTTGACCAGAACCCCTGTCCATGTGCGTACATGGTTTTAACCCCAAAGTGTCAGCTGAAGCGGAAGTCAAATCGTGCTGCAAAGCCTCATTGGCCTGGTTACCCACATGACTGTTCTTTCTCGGCTTCTGCAAGCTTACGGCGCTTGGCATCATCTTCATTGTGGGCAGTGGGCCTTTTGAGCATCGACCTGAGCTGGCCCTGCTGCTCTTGGGTGAGACTGACTCCAAGAGTGCTGATGAAACCAGCTACTGCTTCTGGCACTGGATCCTTCATTTCAGCATCTTCAACTAAGTGAACTGGGTCAGGCTGTTTGCTGACCAGGGTCATGTAGGCCGTGCTGGTGTTGTTGAGCTCGGCTTGTTCTTGTTCGATCTTGGTCTGGATGAGCTTCATCTCATTCAACAAGTCCTGGAAGGCCTTCTTGGTGGCATCAATCTTGGACTGCAAATCCCTCAAGCTGGAGACCTGTTGCTTGAGCTTGTTGGCAACATCCTTTTCCGTGGGTGGCTGAGGCTTGGTGATTTTCTCAACCAGCTCCTTCACTGGCGCCGGGAGTTGCGCCAGATTGTCGCTGAGCACGTCCTGCAAGTCTGGCTCAGGGTCTGGGGGAGGTGGAGATATGCCAATCTCGGTGAGCTTCTGTTGAAGGCCAGGATCAAGCTTGTCCCATGAGGAAGCTAGAAGCTCTCCTGTGAGTTTCTGGACTTTGCTGGGTCTGCTGTGTTCTTCCACAAACCTGGAGGGGGCGTGACACTGCGGGAATTCTTCCATCGTGCAAGCCTTGGTGGAGGAGATCTCGGTGCAAAGCCTTGTGGTGGTTTCGGCCATGCAGTGCCGCACTGCCTGCAAACAGTTCCTTCCCTGACTCTGTCCTGCCAAATCCAGTTGTGACAGCCGCTAGATTGTCAAACCTGGTAGCCGCGACACCACCTGGATGGGCTTGAAGGGGTCATCTGAGGATCGTGAAGGCGGATGCTATCTCAAGGGTGAAGGTGCCTTTGCCGTCCTCGAGTCAAACTCTCTGGTGAAGGTTGACGTTGATCTTAGCCCGGAGTGTGATGCACCCCGCGGCTTGATGCTGAAATGGCTTGAGCCCAATATACACATATATTATATATATATACAAATATATTACATCTCCAATAAACTCTACTTTCTGCGCTTCTCTCTATGAATCTGTCTGTTTCTACGCTAGTCTGTAGAAATCTCCGCTTTTGTTAGGAAAAGTCAGACACCGTCCCAAGACTAACCCACACTTTTACCCTAGGCGGCCCGTCATGCCACGGCCTACGAAACACAGCTTTTTTCGCACCTGCCCCTACTTTCAAATGCAGCCACTCACCAATGAATCCGTGCATTGCGCATCGCATACAGCTAAGTCTCTGGCAGCGGCTACTCTATTGTCTGCATAGCTCTATAGAGAGTTTCTTCGTTAAGCGTCCTTTGACTACACCCAAGAGCACTTCTTTGTTTGAGTGTGGCATTAGGGGAAGAGGTTGCAGTTGCCAAGAATATCAAGTATTACGGTATTACAATGGAGAATCTGCACCATGTCTTGGATCACAAACATCCGAATCTCCTCTCGTTATATAATTGACTGTCAAGGGAATTGGGAAGGCGACCTTTGATCCCAGCTCCGGTCAAGTGCTGCGACGACTGCTGGCGAGCTGGTGCTTTTACCTGAGCATCTCCGGAGCATCTGTTCAACTGGATAGTTCAAATTCTATGACACACATCCAAGTCTAGAAATCAGGCCAATCAGGTGTTACAAAAGAGGGCTTTCCTCAATCACCGGCTCCATCAAAAGATCTTCAGGTCAGAGGCACTCCGCAAGATGTAGCGAGAAGCAAACACAATAGAGGCCGTCGTCAAAACATCCATGTCCCTGGCACAAAGGCGCAAGTCTTGCTGAAGAACACAGTGTGCAAGTTCATTTGCTCGCCCGGCTTCCCGAGCGCACTAGGCCATCTAAGTCTGCCCGCACCGAAGGTGTCGAGGGCGTTGTGGAGGCTTTGGGCAACCGCAAGAGTCGCAAGAAATCTGCTAGATAAGTCTTAAGAGCTTGGGGGGTCACTTTTCGAGTAGAGATGCTGTGCTTTACAGTGCTTTTTGGAGGTGGGTAAAGAATTGGACCAGCCGTTGGCGATGCCGCTTACGCCGGCCGGGAGACACTGCATTATTGACATCGTGGGTGTGTTCGGCCGTGTGTCCTGCTCGACCGACGGACCGAGACAGACACACCAAGACAGACAGACCGAAACAGATAGACTGACAGACCGAGACAGACGCACCGAGACAAACAGACTGAGACACGCTTGAGCCCGGTATAGCCCGGTTGACATTTCCTCCCGGCTCCGAGAGCACACGTTGCTAGTTCCCGGCTCCGCGAGCGCAGGTTGCTGCCGCGAGCGCAGGTTGCTGCCGAGCCGGCAGGGTGCTAACGACACACTTTTCCTATGTATGTCTGGATGCGTGTCTGCATGTACGTCTGTCTGTGTATGTGTGTGTGTGTATGTTTTCCCTTTACTCTGTGCAGGCGGCTTCGAACGCGAAGCGGTGTGAATTATATTAAAGTATACTGTGTATGTTCTGTTGTTTTTTATTGTGGGTCCACTAAAAGTCTTGGAATTAATGCAAACGTTGGTTCTTTTATGTTCGTTCTGTATGCAGACATGAGAATGAAACAGACCTGCAGGGGTTCGAGGCTTGGCGAAACCAAGTGATTGCGCCTGTGATTACACTCCTGAAAAGATTGGAAGTCTATCATGGAAGAATCCAGGATACTTCTTCACAAATACACGATTGCTAATATTTGCAAAGTTTTTTCTGGAGGTAGCTGAGTGGGTTGGCTTGTGAGAACCGATCTTGTGCCCTGTGCTAGTACAGGCGCCGTACCGCAAAGCTTGAAAATGTGCTTTAGCAGAGCGATGTCATACTGTTGTTTGTTGTTCACCCATTTATGCTAGACGATTCAGCCAGAAAGTGCCTTTGGACTCGAACAAACAAGATTCGAGCAGTACAAAAGTTTCGTTGTGGCCCTGTCGGGCAGGTGGAGCCCGAGTTGCACAATGTCTGCTTCAAGGCGAAGGCCCTTTGTCTGCCTGTGTTTCCTGTTTGTGCTTACAATATTCAGTGCTGCTTGTTGTTTTGCAGTCAGATGGCTGCATCAACCTTTGTTCATTTTGGCAAGAGCCGGTGGCCTGCAGCAGGGCGCCGTGTTTCAGAATGTTGTTTCGACATATATACTCTTCAATGGACCAGCGCCCCTGCGGTGCATTTTGAGGATGAATTTCAACAGTTTGACATATCAAAATGCGTGTCCCAAAAAGCGAAAGGGCTCTTGAAGGGAGCTTGTCTGCATCAGCTGTGTCTTAGTAGCTTACTAAGCTTAAATGAGGCTTGCGTAGCTTAGCTTCACAGTTCCACGGGCGATCTTCGCCTCGAGAGCTCGGGGTTCCCGCAATAAGCGTCCACCGCGAAGCGCGAGGCCGTCGTGAACATCACTTTCCTGCACAAGTCCCAGTACAACGACAAACGATTGAAAAAGAATTTTAGGCATAAGTTTCAACAACATTGTGTGTTCATTGTGATATGAAGAGTAGGCAAGATAGAGATTCCGAAAGCATTGGATGTCAATATGGATTTGAATTCTGACATGGAGTTGGAGATAGCCAAATCAGACATGGTGCTTAGACAAACATAGAACAGCTGTCTAAGCAGCTCACTGAAATGTAAGACTACACAGACAAGAGGTACAAAATCATATATATATATATGTTCATATATGTGCATGCGGCTGCATACTGGTAAACAGAATGAAGAATGAAAAAAGTATGTCTAAATCGAAGGATCACAGCACCCTGTAATGAAGAAATATATAGATCTTCTCTATCTCCATGCACAATACATGGGTTTACGAGCACGTTTGAGACAGCAGCAAGCAGTAGCCCAGTCCGGAGTTGCTTCCGCTCGTATGGATATGCTTTCTCAAATTCAGGATAGCTGAAGACTGCATCGCAGAATCCTCAGATAGCCCCACAAACGGCATGCTCAATGCTGAGATGAAAAGGATGCAAAAGGATCTTCAATGTCTTGTCTCCCAGGGTCGGTTCAGCTTCTCCTCAAGGAACTGGGATGGCATTTGCACATCGAAGAGGAAGCAAGAGATGCGCAGGAGATGAAACTCGAGCCTCAGCCAGCACCACCTCTTAAGCCCCTCTTTCTCCTTGACAGCTTGCTCTAGATTCTAGATTCTTTTGAGGTATTCATCAATCTGAAAGCACTCAACGGCATCTCTTTCAAAGGTCCATGGCTTCCAACTGAGAAGAATCCACGTTGACGTCTCGCCTCGACTTGTCTGACCGAGTCTCTTAAGGATCTTGTCGACCATCTTGGACTGCTGCTGGTCCGACAGCTCGGGATCTTCTGGGCGACCGATGCCGAGCGATTTGGAGAGGTCCAGACTTTATCAGTTCGGAACCTCACACCTGAGCCCCCTACTTTGAACAACCTAGAGCCTGAGGAAGCTCTAGACTCCAGACTATTCTGCATGTTCTGACAGCTTAGGGGTGAATCAACTCGCAACATGGGATGCGTCGTTGGTTGGCGCAATGATGCCATATGATGCCCACCTATGCTTGGACTAGAAAAAAAAAGGAAAAAAAAACACTTAGCAGTTGCCGACGGTCCGACATTGCCCAACACAACCTTTCCCACAGATTGGTCTGCAGTCTGTAGGTACAGTACTTTGATTGGTCCCATGAAACTGCAATTGATGCAAAGGCTCTCTTTTCCGCTAAGACCTGATTGTAAGCGCGTATCAGCATCTTCATGCGCTTCGGAAAGTCGAGCACCTGAAGAGTGGTCGAGATAGCTCTCGAAAGAACCTTCTCCTGATACCGCCATTCTTTCACGGTAGAATAAAGCTCGGGAGGGCCCTGGAGGTCATATTTATTGTATACATGGGATAGTAGCAAAGACGCTACTAGGTGGAGGCCATCGCTATTAGGTTGGAGGCCATCGCTACTAGTAGCAAGGACGCTACTAGGGATATTGTAGGATTGCCTTTCGATCCTGTTCAAATCAACCTCCACATGATCGGGGACAAAATTCAGCATAAATCAAGTGTTGCGACAGATCCTCAAATAGATCTGGAATGTTTTTCTTGTTTGATAGGGACATCTGGCACAAATATTACGAGGTTGATGGGCCCTGTTGTGGCCAAGTGCTTGTGTGTGTGTGTGTTCGCAGTGAAAAAATTGTCTATCCTCTTTTGGCCCAGACGAGTGTCTTTGATGTACCCCAGAAGTATAGCTGCTATTCTCACGTACTCTAGTCACTAGTCTGTTGTCGATGGCATAGCCAGCCATGCTTTTGACCTCTCAAATGTTTGGTTACGTTACATTGCCTGGTTGATGGTTGGATACATGGTCCAACTCGCCCTATACACTGATATCTGACAGCGAAACTACTTGTCATTACCAAATACTTGAGAGAATCTGAGCAAAGTCACAAATATGGCTTTACATTCCCGCTACACCCACAGTGCCTTGCAAGCCAGGAAAATGCAGCTCAAGGCCACCACCTTCATGCGATGGATTCATCAAAGGTCTGGATTTCATTTAGAAGAGTGACAAACAGCTCTTGGTCAAACTAGCCGAGGGCCCAAGGCGTGGCTTCTGCAGGCTTTGGTTTGGAGGAAACTTGTTAGGATTCGTGATTCGAGATAGTTTACATCTGGTGTCCTGTGGTCTTGCCAACACCAAGAGCAGCTCGAGGACATTGGCCACAACAAGGAGACTGAGAATGAGACTGGCCATTATAGAGAGAGAGAGAGGCCTCTTGCTGAAATTGAAATCACACACAATGAAACACAAAACACGTTTCTGTTCTTATCGTTCGCCTGAGGGGTCTCCTTCTCTGTGACCTGTTGCTGATTCTCCTTCTTGTAGTACAGCTGGATGTAGTGGGCAGTCATGAGCCGCGCCTGGCGCACGCTACTTCTTGCACAGCAAGTGTTGTCCACAGGTTCTAGAAGACTACTCTGCGGCAAGTCTTGCTTCAACATGATGTGCCGTACATGTGTCTCAGGAGGATTGAACTGGACTATGCCTTCAGCTCTGCTGCATCCGTTGATCTCGGAATTTATACAAAATGCGCAGTTCACAATCTGCTCCACCTGCAACTCGTCTTGGTTCTCTGCACCAAGCTGCCCAGGCTTGATCTGGTTGCCCTGCCCAGCTCAAGGGTGTGGGATAGCAGCTATGGCGAACTGGTGAACACGCACAAATATGAAGTGTTGTTCAACTATAACAACGCTAGCAAAAAAGCAAGATCTGTACTCCTCAACATGCTCATGAAAAACAAAAACAAAAGAAAAGAAGATTTGCAGGAACTACAAACGATAAAGTGAACAAGGTGATCACCAAAATCAACTGTTATTGGTTCACGTCATCACCCAGCCACGCACCTCCATGCTACACAACAAAGCATTGGAGTGACAGCCAGAATACCAGACACAAGCATGAGACCCGGATAAAGTGTGGATAGTGATAGAGAGGGACAAAACTGAATAGAACCTACTAGTAGCAGGGGCATCGCTACTAGTAGCAAGAAGCTGTTAGTATTATAAAAATATGTCATATGGTAAGACCAGAATCCTTGATTAAAAAAGAAAAGAAAACCACATACATGGACAATTAAAAAAAGTCAAATGGAAAGTCAAAAGAAAAGTCGAAAAAATAATCAAACAAATAGATCACAAATCGAAAGAGTCAAAAAACAAATAACAAAAATATCAAAATTAGAAACAACTCCAAAAAAGTTTTTTTTAAACAAATGTCGAAAAAAAAAAACGAAAAAGTAAAAACGAATTCAACAGTGGAAAACACAAAGAATGAACATCAAATACAAAAAAAGAGTCAAAAAAAATCAAACTTATAAAAATAGAAGTAAAGAAATGTATCTGGACAAATTGACACTGCTTTTGACTTCTGAAACTGTCTGATGTGACTTTTTTGACTTTGACTTTTGGGACTGACTACTAAGTTGACTTTGTTTGACTTTGTTTTAATTTGAAAAGTAGCAATAAAGCTTTTATTGCCAAAAAAACATATGAGGACAACGACAACAGGAGGGCATACTGTTCCACTTTCAAGTGTCAGAGCGGCAGTGCAGCAGTCAGCGGGTTCCTCAAGGGTTGTTTCCGTGGCCATGGTGGTGAGCCCCATCTCCAAAGCCAAAATATGCCAGCATAATGGTGCAACCTGCAATCACCATCTATGGTCACAAGTCCATCTGGCTAGCAATCCCTCCAATTCTTCATCACCCTCCGACCCGTCAATGGCCCGACGGCACGGAAGGGAAGGCACCGAGACGAGGAGGGGAGAAGGAGAGAGGAGGGCAGGAAAATTAAGAAACGAAGTGAAGAGAGGCGGCGCCTGTGGTGTGTACTGTGCTGGTGAAGCGGCTTTTAGTGGAAGGGATGCCCTTTTCGGTCCTTGCGCATGACCGTGAAGGGCTGGTAGTTCACTGAAAACGTCTACCGTGGTTTTAATCAGTGTATGTGCCGCAATCTGATTGCAGTGTAAGGCCCAAGCAGCATGGCTTCAAAAATATTCAAGCCTCCTCCTCCTCCTGCTGCTGCTGCTGCTGCTCCTGCTGCTGCTGCTGCTGCTGCGTGATTGATGGTCGACTATCAATGCGGATAATGCGGATTGGTGTCTCTTTCAGGAGGGCCAATCGCGCCCAGCCTGTTCAGCATTCGCCATGCACGTGCAGCCCAGCTGTGGACAAGATGCCGATAGGCGGACGCTGGAGAACACGGGAGAACAACAGGTCGGCCACAGACTGGGTTTGCTGTTCTCTTAAGAGAATCCCAAGGATCCTTCACCAACTTCGTCCGCAGGTGACTCATTCTGGGCAAGGTTGCTGCCAGGGGGCTTCAATCAGCTTCTTCACGATGGGCCGGCTAATGTCAGTCGTCCCGACCATGAGACTTCGTAGAGATTGAGTGTCCTAAAAGCACAGACAGTCCATTGAAAAACTTACCGCATAAGGCCAAAAACGTGCCCATTTAGGAACGGTGCAACCAAGGTAGCCAAAGGAACGGGGCAATGTCATAGCAATATTATATATACTATACACTATATACAATATACATAATAATATATATACAATGTACAATATACAATATACAATATATCATATATCATATAATATATAATATATATATAACACATATGTTATATATATATGAAATGCTCGTACAACTAGGCTGTAATCTCCCAATTCTGTCCTACGGGTGCGCAAATCCCTGCTGCGTATATTGTTTGACAAAGGTGTTGAAACTCCTCCATATACCTGCCAAGCCTCCTCCACCTCCACTGCTGGCGTCGGCGGCGGCGTACTTTGGGGCGTTTGTGGCCCAGCCATGGCAGCGCAGCCCACACTCGGTGACTGGGGAGGTGCCTTTCGGAAAGGCCAGAGGTGTCTTTAGATAGTCTAGACTCTAGACTCACAGAGGTGTTATAGGAGCCTTGTGTGGTCTTGTACCAGGTCTGCTTGAAGTGCTCCATAACAGGGAGAATCGTCATTTTCCTAACCATGTGGCCAATTCAATGAATCCTAATACGCATCTAAATATGGGATACGTTGGAGGTTGCTGCTGGACACCAGATGAGCCAACATTCGGCGAACATGGCGGCTGTCAGCACACATAAAGACCACAATAACAAAACGTGCGCGAACATTTAGACACACAGAAACCCATGGATGCCCACAAACAGTGGAGGATTGCACACAAATATGTTCGTAGGGTATCGCTTCCCCTCCCAAAGTAAAATGACTACAGTAATTATCTGTTTAAAGGTTTGCAAATTTACATGTTTGGGGAAAGCGTTGTTGGGAGACCTTGCAAACGGGGAATTCACAATTTCTTGTTTATTCTAGTATGTGACTGCCCGCACCGTTCTTGCAATACGAGCACCTCCTAACTCCTAGTGTCTGTGATGATTATCTACTGTGTGGAATACCTGTGCCTCCTAACTTTATATATACTGCAACAGTCTTCACAATAAAGACATGGCGCATTGCAAAACTCTCTATAGGTCTGAATCTGTATGTTTTATGCAAAAGTTTAAAATGGTGTACTTTATGAGGTACCATAATATAGAAGAAAGTCAGATACTCGGCGAGTGGAACATACAAACCAACCTTCAAGAGCCCGAGCGTGTAAATTCAAGCTGCGACCACACTTATTGCCTCTGTATTGGGAAGAATTGACACTGTACTCCTAGAACCCTAGAACATGGGATGCTCGTTTGCACTGTGAGTAGTGCCCCCTGCTTGACTTGGCGCACATCAGCACAATCATGCCAAAAATTGAAAAGATCCTTTTCCTTGCGGCTTCTTAGATTTCTGGTGGCGAGAATAGACATGAAAGAACCTTTGCCGCTCCTCGCCTGCGCCCTTTGTCGAAAGGCCTCGGGGGGAATCAGTAGGTGTTGCAATCTTTCGGGCGGCAAAAGGGATCCTTGGCGTCCTTGCTCCTAGTAGCCATGCCAGGAGCCCATAGTAGCTTCTTGTTCCTAGTAGTAAGGCCAGGAGCCCCCTGTAGCGTCCTTGCTCCTAGATGCAAACATCTTTTTCAACCATTTTTAATTTTTGTTGAGGGGATTGATGCCACAGACTGCTGTCGTGATGATGCCCTGTGAGGTGATAAGATCTGCTACATGAGGCAATGCCCTCCATCTATCCCTTGGTCTTGTTCTGACAGTGCCAGTCTTGTATCCAGCTATTGGAGGGTGCAACTCAAGCCTAGATGCAGCAAATATGAGGAGCTTTCCACAGGTGATCGCAAACCGTGGGCACACCACCAAGGCAGCTTCAATGAACGACGCTCGAAGGTGGTTTTGCAGAGCCGTTCTGTGCATCTGTGGAGATTCTTTGATCTCCTGGCGCCATATGTGCGCCTGCAGATACAATCCAATCTCACCTAGCACTATATAGAGTTACTTTGAACATCTTGTCTTAGAATCAGAGTTTCTTATTCATGATCTCCGCGAGCTTCGCATCATCGGCCGGAATCTCCCAGCCTTTCTGGCGGATATAAGAAGGATTCACAAAAATCTGATCAAACTTCAAGACCTTCCACCTCACAAAGCCATTTTTCTCCATGACATCCGAAATCTTCTTGTTGTTCACTGGCCCCTTGTTCATCTCGATGGTCATGACCCCGACCTTTACTTTTGAGAAGTCAGTGGCCTCCAAGACGGCACCCTCAGCACCTTCAATGTCCAGGCTCCAGAAATCCACTTCCAAATGACCCACTGCCTCCAAAATGTCTTTCAGAGGAAGACAAGTGACCTGAAAGACTCTTTCAGAGCAATTTTGCTGAAGACTGAAGACTCTTCAAGTTAGATTCTGCCCGACGTTCGTTAAGTTCATGTTGTCTGTAATTTAAGATCAAATATGCACAGTACAGTTGTGAAGTTGTGAAGAAAGTGAATTGGATTGTACGCGCATTTACTATCGCACATCCTGTGTTTACCAGCCCTCGAGACTGTCCCATTGAATCCGATTGGAACTCCCCCGCGGAGTGTGCAAATGACCCATGAGCCCAAAGGCTTTTAACCGGAAACGGTCCTGTAGATGGTGTTGAATCAAGGTCAATCACTTCAATCTAGGACTTTAGGTTTTACAGTAATTCAACAGTAATTCTTCACGTGCCCCTTCCAACTGACATCCAAGACCAGCCCCATCCCAACGCATCAAATCGGCAAAGGACCGCAATGGCAGCGTCTAAGGTCTGCTTAGTCTCCTTCTCCGGAGGCTTGTCCATCAACCTACCATCCATGCCAAAGTTTCCATGGAGTGCTTTATCACGGTCAGCTTTAAACCAAAGGGTTTCCTGACTTTGGGTCCCAGAGAGGCATCCCTTGAACAGGTATGCCTTGCGGTGTAGAGTCGCAATTAATTCATGATTCCATGGGTCTGGCTCAACCAACAAGCCGCTCCATTTGCCAGTCTTCTCAAGGGCAAGGGTATTGCTGAATGCTTCTCCAACAGAAGCTCCACTTTCAATGAAAAAGCCCTTTGTCAGGCCTTTCAGCAAAGGCCACACTTCCTGGTCTTGCTTGTCTTGACTATACCAATCGTTCTTTGGATGGGCCAAACGATAAAGGTCCTTGCTTGGTGGCACCAAGCATGCGGGATACTCTCCTTCTTGCACCTTTGATTCAGCATGCCTGCACCATGGCACCTTGAGCTCCTTGCTTTCAGGCGCAGCAACTGCAGGGCGTTCGGCAGGAATGCTCGTCTGGTTCATTGTTAAGTTCACAAGCGATATCTTCGCTACACCGCATCCAAAGATTGAATAGAAAATGCCAAAGCCTCCTATCCCCACCAGGAGGCCGAGAGCCACTGGACGCCAGCTCATCACAGGTTCATCAAATCATCTGAAAACATCTCCTCATTACAGCTTCTGGTGATCTGAGCCAAGTCCGCAGAAAAGCCTCAGTAAATCGTTTCACCTCACAATGGTCCTTTTTAACACCAAAGAACGTGCAATGCCGTTGATTTGTGTGCTACACCACCTGCTTTCATGGCAGCCCCACTATACAACTTCAATGAACACTGCAAAATTCCGCCTGGTCCTAGTCATCGCACTGCTGCGGGGTTAGTCGCAAGTGATCTCCGATCGGTCAAGTAATCATGGAAGTGGTTCGATCATGCTTCGAGTTCTTCCAGGTAGAAAAGTTGGAAGGATGACAGCTTTGATGTGCTGCCGTGAGGGGGGGGGCAAACATCTCGCCTGGCGAACCACATGATCACGGTTCTCTATTCCATGCCACGCCTTCAAGAAGAATCCTTTATATAGACAGATTGGTCTTGCTTTGACATTGCCAGAATGGAAATGATCCACAGCTGCGAGCTTGCTCATCAGACCAACTTGTGGCCCCGACATCATGTCACCAGCAAGTCAAAGCCCTAGAGGCTGAATCCATCACATCTGATCACTACAAGTGCCTCGCTAGTAGTAACAAGTGCCTTATTAGTAGTAACAAGAAGCTACTAGAAACAAGTGCATCGCTAGTAGTAACAAAGTGTTTTTTTGTATTCGGTCAAAGGTCTCGAGCCCTGCCCGATCCCACTGAGGCACCGGTCATCCCTGAGACCTGGCAAGCCAGTCAGGAGCCCCTAGTAGCCCTTAATATAGTAAAGAATTATACAAGCATAGACCCCAAACAGTTTCAAAACGATTCGTTTAGACCAACATTAGTCAAAAATTGATTTCTTGGCACGCCCTACTTTCACCCAAAGAGCAAACTGCTTCATCAATGAATGTTTGTCGGCATTGACATCGCTATTTGTTCGGCCACACTCCTCTCCAGTAAGCCGGGCCACAGAGACCAGCCACAGAGTTCAGGGGCGCGGCCAAGACAAGGACAAGAGGAGGACAAGACCCGGACACAGAGCCGGCCACAGAGCCCAGCCACAGAGTTCAGGGGCGCGGCCAAGACAAGGACAAGAAGAGGACAAGGCCCAGCCACAGAGCCCAGCACAGAGGACAAGAGGATGACAAGAGCCCAGTAAGCCGTCCATAGCACACAAGCGCGCCCGCGCTCGCCCTGCTCTCTTTCTCTCTCTCTCTCTCTCTCTCTGTCTCTGTCTCTGTCTCTGTCTCTGTCTCTTTCTCCTTCCTTCCTTCCTTCCTTCCTTGCTTGCTTGCTTGCTTGCTTGCTTTCTTGCTTTCTTTCTTTCTTTCTTTCTTTCTTTCTTTCTGTCTCTCTCTCTCTCTCTCTCTCTCTCTTTCTCTTCAAGTTTATCTTTCTCTGTCTTTCTCTCTGTAGAGCGCGCAGTGAGCGCGCCTTTCTGGAGCGTATGTCAAACCGTGCGCCACAAAGCCCAGCCACACAAAGCCCAGCCACAGAGTTGACACAGTTCAGGGGCGCGGCCAAGAGGAGGACAAGAGGAGGACAACGGAGGACAAGGCCGGGACACAGAGCAGAGCCCAGCCACGGGCAAGAGAAGGACAACGCCTGGACACAGAGCCCGGCGCGGGCAAGAGGAGGACAAGAGGAGGACAAGGCCTGGACACAGTGCCCAGCCACAGAATTGACAGGGTTCAGGGCCCAGCCACAGAGTTGACAGAGTTCGGCGGCGCGGCCAAGAAGAGGACAAGGCCCAGCCACAGAGCCCAACCACAGAGTTGACAGGGTTCAGGAGCGCGGCCAAGAGGAGGAAAAGGGGAGGAGGACAAGAAGAGGACAAGGCCCAGAGTTCAGGGGCGCGGCCAAGAGGAGGACAAGAGGAGGACAAGGCCCAGCCACAGAGCCCAGCCACAGAGCCCAGCCACGGAGCCCAGCCACAGAGTTCAGGCCAGTGAGTGTGGCCAGCTCTTTTCTTTCTAAGATAGAACCGCAACAGTAAACTGTTTGGGGAAAAAGAACATATGTAACCACAATTCAAACATTCTTGTTTCTAATAGCTTCTTGTTACTACTAGTAAGGCACTTGTTACTAGTAGCGATGCACTTGTTCCTAGTAGTTTTCTGTACAACGTTGCAGCTCTTTCTAGTCATTTGCATGAATTGTGCTCCTCTTCCTCTGGAAACCTTTTTCGGGCGATGGTTAGAAACCTGGTCTCTAGCGTTTGTGCAATGCCGTTCACAAATATTCCTCGTCTTTGTCAAGCACGGCGTTTGTCTCCTTGTAGAAAACAGCAAGTTTTTGAAGCAGAAACTCCCATCGGCCACCAACCCCTCACCGACACTCTTCCACCTCCCATCCAGCGCCTCATTGCCATTTACCACAACAACGTGCAACGAGCACAACACCACACACGCCTGGCTCTCAATGCCATTGACACCTTAGCCCGCTTTCCACCAGCGGCCTACTTCACGGATCCCAACCTCGGCACACAAGCTTCCCCACATCCACATTCCCAAGCAGATCCCTCGCCCAGTTATATTCCACCTCTTCGATTCTATCCAATACCCACTGCCGCTGAACTTTTGCACCTTTGGTTTCAGTCCTCGACAACCCACTCACGCCTCCAGGTCTCAACCAATCGCAGCAGACCACCCCTCGACCACACACCCACCACCGCCACATTCAGACGGACATCCATGCCATCGTCCAGCTTCCATCTTTTGCCGGCATCCTTGCACCACATGATGCCAATCAACCGGACTCCTCCACTCCACTAACAACATGGCCCACACTACCTCACCCAACCCAACGTCCGCAACCAACAGGCAGCCTCATGATCGATGGCAGTATGTCAACCTCATTCCTACTCCTACCGTTACCCTTCCTGAGCACCAGTACACAAGACCGGCATTTCCTTCCCCCATTGGCGGTACACACCTCCACGCTCAGCCACCCCCACCCGCACTCGGCAGCCGGACCCACGCACCGGCTCCCCAATTCCCTGTCGCACGGCGCCAGCCCCAGCTCCACACAGCAATACCCTCTTACAGCGCACCCTCTACCAAAACGACCTCCGCCATCACTTCACCAAGCCCAACAACCACCCGCCACCAGTGACCCCCTGCAACTGCAACCCGTCCCTCCGGCGACCGGCTGGCCAAATTTCCAAGGAGGTTCGTACACCCCGACCCCATCAACGGCACCGCCACATACTGCGGCCCCACCTACGCATCCCTGGCCAGCACACTACCCTGTCCCCACACAGCAGCAACCTCCCACCACCTCAACACCTGCAAGCTCTGCGGCTCTTGCCCCACCCTCACCAGTTGTCATGCTCCACCCTACTACCGCACAGGTTGACTTGCAGGGGCGCCCCTGCCTCTACATCAGCAAAACTACGATCCTCGCACTGATCCCTGGTGCGCCGACAATCACTGACCGCGCGGCTGCTGATTCTGAGCCACCTGCGGCGCTTGATCCGTTGATGAGTTACATGCCATGAACCATCCAAGACACCGCAGTTCCTCTTTCCGCTTCCATGACTTTCTCCTAGTATGTAATTTCATCGTTCGCCCTCATCTTCGGATGCTCGCCATCCCCAATGAGGCCTCTGACCAAAAAACAGTTTCACCATGCACAACGAAAAAACAGTTTGCGCCTCCGGCTGATGACCTCGCTTATCCACATTGGTCATGCTTTGATCGAGCCAGCTACCTTTTTTACTGACATTTTAAGTGACACTCTCACAGTGTATTTGCATGACTCAGCTCTTTTTGATGTCCTTCTTGTGTTTGTGCCTCCTGTTGTTTGACTGAACTATGAATGTATGACACTTGTCAATTGCTGTGATTCTACACTGACCGCCATCCCTTATACTTTACTTGACCCTTCCCTCCCTCCGCCCTTTCAGCTTGCTCAAGCCAACAACCCGTGATCCTTGCCTCAACGTTCCAGTTGACGCCTTCGAACAGCCATCATGGACGCACAATGGCAGCAATATTACTGGAACCATTTTTGCTCCAGCAGCAGCAACATCAGCAGCTTACCAACCCAGACACCACTGTTTCTCCTCCCACTGCAACTCACCACACATACAACCCTGCTGGCACTTACGGCCCACTCACTCACGCACTCCGTACGCATCAGGCCCACCACCCTCACCCATACACGACATCACCATACACGACGCCACCGCGGCACACACCGCCACAGCAGGCTCCACCGTCACAGCCGGAGTTCCCACCTCCACCACCACCACTGCCCACAGCCGACCCAGTCACTCCACCGCCATCGACCTACAAGCACAGCCCACCACCGCCACCAGCTGCCCGCGCCGGCACCGCGCCTGCTCCACCGCCACCTCACATCCCTTCTCCCACTCCAAGACTCTTGGAACCAAACCGATCACCATTGGGATTCCAACACACTCCACGGCCACCAGCTCTACCGCACAATCCAACCTACACAATGGTCTCGAAAAGCAGGGGTGGCAGGGCTTCCAACCTTCGACATCTTCCCCTGGCAACTGGCGTACCATGGTACTGCCGAATTCACAGCCCGCACTCTTAGCAACGGAAAGTACACTGGTTTTATTGCCACCAGAAGTATTGCGGAGTCTGTTTTCGTTACCCACCTCCTCCAAGAGCTCCGCGAGAAACGCCTTGACTTGGGCGGCATCGCCGAGACCCTCCACACCAAACAAGGAACCGACATCCCCAGCAAGACAACACAGGCCCGGGCATTCCACGCCCCGCTGATCAACCTACTCATCCAACAACTCCAATCCCACTCTCCGGCACCAGCAGAGGGCACCGCTCTACGGGCCCTTAAGAACACCACCGATGAACTCGCCCGACCAAAACAGAAGCTCCACAACCTGGGCGAACCCCTCACTCCCGTGAAGAGCACCAGCCACCCCTCCGCCCCGGCGGCCCCTTCACATTCACCCACTCCACCAGCACGCAAGCCACCTGTACTTTCCGACGTCCTGAAACCTCCACACCCA